GTATGTACTATATTTTTTTTCAATGGCTCTATTTATTTAGGTTATCAGTATTTTATTTTCAATGTGGCATGACTTAGTTGCCTTGAAACCAAACTCCCTTCACAGATCACATATATTTGCTACCACTCAATCATTACATCTGTACTTAAATGAAGAAATGATACAAACAATAGTTTACTGTTCGAGTACTAATAAGGAAGGTGAGAAAGTAAAAGGAGACAAATGGCAAAGGAATGATGTGACCTAATTGAATGAGTTTATTGGCTGCCAACTCCTTACTGGCCCCTAATTTATTTTAGGGATTACTTGAGTACACAACTTAAATAACTAACATCCAAACAAAAATGTTCTCAAGTCAGTTAAGTTTTTTTTTTTACTATTAAATTTTAAATTATGTACCAGTGTGTTAGACCCAGTAGACAAATATGGTAAAAAAAAAAGACTGAACCTCCAAAAATAAGTCTCTTTCTCATGCTTTATACAGTGGCATCCTTTAACTTTAAGATGTTCATTGCAACTACCTTGTGAATTAGGTCAAGTCAAATAAGAAAAGTTGTTGAAAGGAGATTCGAGATATCAGGAAAAACAGTCAGTGTCCGCATGTATGACTCCCACTGCTAAGGAAAAAGTTTAAAATTGGTTGTTTTGTTCTGACTAAGCCAAGCTCTCTAGAGGAATATTTGAAATTAATTCATTATGAATGAAATTTTCATTATTTAGAATACCTAATTAATTCATAAAGTACTGTGTGATTAAATCTTTTAAATTAAACAATACACATAAATAATCTTAAATAAGGGATTTAATTTTAATAATTAAATTAATAATATTACTTTTCTAAAATTCAAATGAAAACAATAAATGTATTTAAATCATCTTCATTACTAGATTTAAAAAAAAAAATGAACTACGAAAATGGCTTAAGACTAAAAAAGAAAATAAGAAAGAAAAAAATTTACCCGTCCTAAGAGAAATCAACAAAGCAAAAATAAAAAAAAAAAATACAAAGACTAAAACTATGAATCTGTGAAATAACAAGGAGAAAAAAAAATTATCATACTATTATTGTTATCACACCCGGCTCCGAATCCATTTAATCTGTATGGAGCCACTCCGGGTGCGAATAGTTATTAGCGACTATAGGTACTCGGGTATCCAAAGTTGCAGCCTTAAATTATACTACCCTGACTGATTCCCCACCTCTGACCTCTGCTGGATGCCGTCCATGGATTGCCTTGTAAAATTTTTTGGGTGGGTGGGTGAATTTACCTTTTTTTTTTGTTTTTTGGTTACATGCTGTTTTTTTAATTTCATTTATGTATTTTATTTTAATGACTTGATTATGTCCCTTTTGCTAATATTTTTATGTACAGCGCGGTGAGCCCATTTCTAGCTGGGGTACCGTGCTATATAAGACCACTAATTATTATTATTATTATTATTATATATTATATATTATATCGGTATTTAAAAGCACATCACATTAATCATAATTCCTACAATAATTTTATTAGATAATATCATGTCCCTTCAAATATTATGCACAAAAATCATGATGCACACTCTCGTCTTTTGTAACTGCTGTTCTAGCCCACAACTGTTTGTTCTGACATGACAATATCACACGCACTCACTGGTCAGTCTTTATAAGTCCCAATACTCTGTAATATTTGTACCGGAATAGCAGCTATATTACTTGTTTCGCATTAGTGTTTCACATATTCATTATTAAATATGTGACAAGATTATTATACATCTTCACTTTCTGTGCTTTAAGTTAATATAGTTTTTATTTCCATATTTTTGATTTAGTATTGTTATAAAATTAAAAGTATAATTATATTGAGTATTGTTAATATCACCAGCTTTGTTATTGTTTTTCTTTATAAACTGATTTTAAGTTCTTTGTTACGTATTACAATACGTTAAGTCTCGTAAAATGTCTCTATCAGTCCTAGTTCATTGTCATTTTTAAGCAATGGAGTCAGAACCCCCCAGAAAAGAAAGTTTTGCAATTCAGTCACCTGAGAGGATTTCCCCCTCTACGTTGTAAACAAACTTTCCCAATCAAGGTGGTGGAAAAGGTAATGGCAGAGATAACTGGTGACGCCAGTAACAAAATGAAAGTGTAAGGTAAGTTTGCATGCCACGGTTCGTGGTGAAAAAAAAAACTAGGGAAACACACAGACTACAACAGTTACATATTTTGCATCTCAAACTCGATGTAGTTGATCGTCTATTTTTGGAATAGGAAAAGAATTAGACTTTGTAACAGAATTCAATTTTTATTTTCATTCCGTCAAGTTATAGGCTGGGATGAGTTGAAAAAAAAATAATGAAAGATTCGGTGTCTCGTGTCTAATAACTATTCGTATACAGTCTTTGTTTATCCATTTATTAAATCATCAGTAAATACATGTTTCATTATGGACATGGGGCCTCGGGTCCATAGACCATTTCATAAGGAGAAAATTTCGGGGCTTCATTTGACACTTCTCTAACGGGGAATAATGCTGCATTTATTAACTATCCCAGTATTAGGTTCTTTTTCAGCTAGTTTTTGTAGTATTGATTTCAGAGAGCCATTGAATCTCTCAACCAGCCCATTCGGGGTGGATTGATATGGCGAGGACTTAATTCTTTTGATACAAAAAATTGGAATCTGGACATACACCTCAGATTTAAACTGGGGGCCGTTATCAGACAAAATCTCCCCTGGGAAACCTATCCTGGAAAAATGGTACTCAGTGCTTCTATCACACTCTCGTACTTGCCTCTTTTAATGCAGCGCCCTCTGGCCATCTAGATGCCTTGTCAATTAATGTAAGGATGAACCTGGTTTTTTCCTGGCGGTCATCTGCATGGGGCCGATTAGATCTATGACGGCCTTAGCAAATGGGGTTGTTATTAGAGACCAACCGAATTTCGGCTTCGGTTTCGGCGCCGAAAGTGGCCATTTTATCACTTTCGGCCAAGTTTCGGTTTCGGCAGAAACTGAAAGTTAACTTTCGGCTTAGTTTCGGTTTCGGCCGAAAGAGAAAGTTAACTTTCGGTTTTATTCGGTTTCGGCCGAAATTGACTTAGACTTTCGGCCATCCGGCCCAAAGTGGCTGAGGTTTTTGATCATCTAATTCTCAGCAAACGAGATATTTAACAACAAACTAAGCGACATTTAAGAACAAACTAAACGATCTTTAAAGCAAACTAAGCGATCTTTAGGAACAATCTAAGCGATCTTTAATAAAAAAAAAAAACTAAACGATCTTAAGGAACAAACTAAGCGATTTTAAGAAACGAACTAAACGATCTTTAAGAACAAACTAAGCCATCTTTAATTAAAAAAAACTAAACGATCTTAAAGAACAAAATAAGCGATTTTTAAGAACGAACTAAATGATCTTTAAGAACAAAAAAAAATATCTTTAATAGTAAACTAAATGATTTATAAGAATAAACTAAGCGATATTTATCAGAAAACTAAATTTTCTTTAGGAACAAACTAAAAGATCTTTAAGAACAAACTAATCGATATTTAATAACAAACTAAATGATCTTTAAGAACAAACTGAATGATTTTTAAGAACAAACCGAATGATCTTTAAGAACAACTAAGCGATACAAAAATCAATGATCTTTAAGAACAAACTTAGCGATCTTTATGAAAAAACTAAACGATCTTTTAATAATACAAACTAAGTGATCTTTAAGAAAAAAACAAAGCGATCTTTAAGAACAAACTAAGCGATCTTAAAAAAAAACAAATGAACGATTTTTAAAAACAAACTAATTGTTTTTATGAACAAACTAACCAATCTTTAAGAACAAATAAAGCGATCATTAAAAAAAAACTGAACGATCTTTAACAACAAACTAAGCGATCTTTAAGAACAAATTAAACGATCTTTAACAACAAGATGTTATATTAGATGTTTATTTATTAATATTCACGATTATCTCATTTTTTATAAAAAGAATGTAAATATGTATACTTTCTCCCATCATTTGCTATGTATGCAGAATGTATACGGAAAAAGAATTTCAAAATATCTAAATATTTCATTTTCGATTTCGGCTTCGGCTGAAAGTCATTTTTAACTTTCGGCCTTTTTTCGCTTTCGGAAGAAAGTCATTTTTTAACTTTCGGCCTTTTTTCGGTTTCGGCCAAAATCAGAAAATCACTTTTGGTCGGTCACTAGTTGTTATCACAGTCATTTTCCCTAACTCTTACTTTAGGTATTCTTGCCCGTGTGTACTACAATAGGTCTTTTCGCCTCAGTGCACTACAATAGGACTTCTCACCTGTGTGCACTACAATAGGTCTTCTCAACTGGGTGCACGACAATAGTTCTTCTAGCTTAAATGCCTTATAATGGTTAATTAAAACGGTCTACGGCTTTTTTCTGTTATTTAAAAGACAAAATTATTATCATGATCTAAACACAACAATTCCAACAATAGTGACCGTTTACACGAAGTTGTTAATCGACTCAAGACCGTAGATAGAGTTATTTCATAGGTGAATCCCATTTCTTCCAGCATTTGCTTAACATCTTCTAAATTCGTAACTAATGATTTTATTCACTAAATTATTTCAATAAAAGACTCATTCCAGAATGTTTCATTAAATATCTTAGACCTTTATTTATAATAATCGCTTACACTTTTTGTAATCAGCTCTTTTCATTTGAACGATAGAAAAATTTCGCAGGTAACTTTGAGGGCTACTCAGGCGTGACACTCGGCTGTTGTTAAATCATATCGTGTTCTTTAGAAAATTACTATATTATGAATACGTGCAAATAATAATATTGTATCATTTGTAGATTGCAAAGGTGTTCTTTTTTTCGTTGTGTTTGTTGATTCCAAACCAGGTAACAACACATAGTCTTTAAATATAAATTTTGTTCTTAAAATTCAGTGAGGTTTTTAGGCTTTACTGCGTAAGATTAAAAAAAAATAAACGTGTCTCAAAAATAAAGAGATTACTCAAATAAGTGACAGTATTTAACAAACATCTTTGTTCTCTTCTCAGCAAGGAGAGTTTGATTTCTCACAAATAAATCGATATTGCAAATGGCAATAATCGTCGTCGAGCCAAGCGTTGCAGCCCCTGGCGCAGTTTTGTCGACCAGCGGCATTGTCTGGTTGAAAAGATAATGTCTGCATCGTCAGTTGGTCAATCTGCTGATGGTCATCTGACCACACGAATTGACCCTCCACTTCGATGTCGTCCAGACCCATCCAAGTGCACCCAGAGGTCATTTTAGAAAAGAGGGCGTATTTTTCCACGGTTTTGGCCACGAAAAGATGTGAGTCCAGACATTTGCACGTGACTGCAGCTTGTGTGTAGTTGACTGGAACGTTAAAGGTTGCAGCGAATGTCGTTGAGGTGTTGTAGGAGTATTGACTGAAATACATAAGGCCAACATTGTTTAATAAACTTTCATGATACAAAAAAAAAGTAATGGTGATCACAAATATAAAAAATGTGGTCTAAGATGAGATGGACTTAAATAAATGAATTTGATGATGTAAAAAAAAAAAATTAAACAAATTGATTAAAAATAAAATATTGTTAGGATATTTTGATAGGGCTTTGCTTTAAATGATTCACTCTAATATTTGATATATCCCTTTTTCTTAAGGCCAGTGTAGAAAGTAGAAAAAAAAGATAAATTTCTTGGTTTGTAAAAAAAGAATTTTAATGGGACCAATTTTAATTGTTTTCTGCACTCCCCCACACCCCCTTTCCTTTTTCAGTGATAATTTGGGCACATTTTTGACCGTGCCAACTGAACAATTTACAAATTATGTGAAACGCTACCTTAATATTTGGCTAAAGTATTTTGATGGGGCACTTTTACGAGTAAAAACTGGTAGGTCTAAAGGTTATGGCCCATTGCTTGACTTAACTGATAGGTAACTTTGTGACGTCAGCCATGTTAATCTTAAGTATTTTGATAGGGCACCTATTTTATAAATAATAATAATAAAGTTTATTTTTGTTAAAAAATCACGTTTCATCCCCAAAAGCTCAAAGCACGGTACAAAGTCCACCATATTAAAAGAGAAATGAAACAATCTTTATTTGACCACATTAAAACACAACACGCAACACTACAAAAACAAAAAACGAGCCAAAGCCATTCAAAATCTTTCATCCCATTCAACTATAAACAACACAAGCCACTATACATCTAGGAGATAATAGCTAGCTGGAAAAGATGGTAGACAGCATCACCCCAGATGATGTTTGCAAAGTAGATTGTTTTAAAATTGGTTTTGGGAGATTCCAGTGTCTGTCTGTTTCTGATAGCGACAGGAAGGGTGTTCCAAAGTGTTGGCTAAAGTGTTTTGATGGGGCACTTCTACAAGTAAAAACTGGTGGGTATATTCCCCCAGCTCTTCCACCGATCAATAGTGTTTAAAAAAACTTACTTTAAATTTACTTATTTACTTTTAAAATATAGCAAAATAAATAGTATTTTTTTAAATTTCATTCTAGACACAAAAAAAATATTGGACATTTAGTGCTGACACTTAAATAATAATTGAATCCATTGGAAATATAGTGCTGAGATTTTTTTGTTCAAAATTGATCTATTGTTCGTGTCTTATTAATTGATTGAACATATAGTGCTGACACTTACTAAATTTAATTTATTGTACAAATAGTGCTCACATTTTAAAAAAATGGATGTATATGACATAGATTATTGACATTTTCAACAGTTGATCAATTGAACATTTACTGCTGACATTTTCAACAGTTGATCAAATTAACATTTAGTGCTGACATTTTCAATAGTTTATTTGTTGGACTTATGGTGCTGACATTTTCAACAGTTGATCAATTGGACATTTACTGCTGAAATTTTTAAAAGTTGATCAATTGGACATTTACTGCTGACATTTTTAAAAGTTGATCAATTGGACATTTACTGCTGACATTTTTAAAAGTTGATCAATTGGACATTTACTGCTGACATTTGTAAAAGTTTATTTATTGGACTTATGGTGCTGACATTTTCCAATTTTGATATGTTGGACATATTATAGACTTGACGTTTCCCAAAGTTGATATTTATATTTTCTAAGAAATAGCAAAGTCAATGTCAATGTTTTCAACTTAGGTTGTCTATAGGACTCCAAAATATTATTACAACTCTTAACACTGAGGCCCATAAACCAATTTACTAATTATAATGTTTCTTGGGAAATTTATGTAAAGGATTATTAAATGGTCCCCTTTAAGCGATAACTTTGGCAACTTATTGATACGGTGTTATCTTAACCTTTTAACATGTTTTAAATTTACCTGGCTATTTAATTAACTGCCTTTAAAAGGGCTTATTTTAAGTTATAACTTTGGCCACTTACAGAACGAGTTAAAGCTTTCAAAGATAAACTTTAATTTTAACATGAAGAAAATGAAAAGGGCCAACCTTTAAATGACATATTTTGGACTAAGCTCAAACCGAGATCATTCGAAAGATTTAATTTGTTTTTTAAATCAACAGGAATAAGGGATTTTAACGGTGTGAAAAAAATAGAGATTTGTCGACCAAACTCCCCACACGGGCCACCAGACTCCCCAACTGGGCCACCAGACTCCCCACACGGGCCACCAGACTCTCCACACGAGCCACCAGACTCCCCAACTGGGCTACCAGACTCTCAAGCTTGGTCGCAAAACTCTCCAACCTGGCCATTCAGACCCTACAACTAGGCCACTAGAACAATTTTCAGCTTTTATAGCTGGAACATTTAGTTTTTTTAAATTTTTATAAGTAACATATTGAATGATACATTAAAATGATGCCATAATCGATGCATTTTTTAAAATAATACCATCAGGATTTAATTATGACATTCATATAAAAAGCTAATGATTAAAATGTGAGGGACTGTGTTCAAACCGTCTGAAGGAAATGGTTGAGCAAGATAACTTTGACATAGGCGTGTCTTTTTCTTTTGGGGCTGTGATCAAAATATTAATAATAAAAAATGCATCGGTATTGGGTAAACGCTTTTAATAATAATAATATTAAAGTTTAACTAATGATGTAACAACTAAATACGCTATCAACACAGAGAAATGGAATTAATTACTAATAATGTAACAACTAAATATGCTATCAACACAGAGAAATGGGATTAATTACTAGTAATTTAACAACTAAATATGCTATCAACACAGAGAAATGGGATTAATTACTAATAATGTAACAACTAAATATGCTATCAACACAGAGAAATGGGATTAATTACTAATGATGTAACAAATAAATACGCTATCAACACAGAGAAATGGGATTAATTACTAATAATGTAACAACTAAATACGCTATCAACACAGAGAAATGGGATTAATTACTAATGATGTAACAACTAAATACGCTATCAACACAGAGAAATGGGATTAATTACTAATAATGTAACAACTAAATACGCTATCAACACAGAGAATTGGGATTAATTACTAATGACGTAACAACTAAATACGCTATCAACACAGAGAAATGGGATTAATTACTAATGATGTAACAACTAAATACGCTATCAACACAGAGAAATGGAATTAATTACTAATAATGTAACAACTAAATATGCTATCAACACAGAGAAATGGGATTAATTACTAGTAATGTAACAACTAAATATGCTATCAACACAGAGAAATGGGATTAATTACTAATAATGTAACAACTAAATATGCTATCAACACAGAGAAATGGGATTAATTACTAATGATGTAACAACTAAATATGCTATCAACACAGAGAAATGGGATTAATTACTAATGATGTAACAAATAAATACGCTATCAACACAGAGAAATGGGATTAATTACTAATAATGTAACAACTAAATATGCTATCAACACAGAGAAATGGGATTAATTACTAATGATGTAACAACTAAATACGCTATCAACACAGAGAAATGGGATTAATTACTAATGACGTAACAACTAAATACGCTATCAACACAGAGAAATGGGATTAATTATTAATAATGTAACAACTAAATACGCTATCAACACAGAGAAATGGGATTAATTACTAATGATGTAACAACTAAATACGCTATCAACACAGAGAAATGGGATTAATTACTAATAATGTAACAACTAAATACGCTATCAACACAGAGAAATGGGATTAATTACTATTAATGTAACAACTAAATATGCTATCAACACAGAGAAATGGGATAAATTACTAATGATGTAACAACTAAATACGCTATCAACACAGGGAAATGGGATTAATTACTAATGATGTAAAAACTAAATACGCTATCAACACAGATAATTGGGATTAATTACTAATAATATAACAACTAAATACGCTTTCAACACAGAGAAATGGGATTAATTACTAATAATGTAACAACTAAATACGCTATCAACACAGAGAAATGGGATTAATTACTAATGATGTAACAACTAAATACGCTATCAACACAGAGAAATAGGATTAATTACTAATGATGTAACAACTAAATATGCTATCAACACAGAGAAATGGGTTTAATTACTAATGATGTAACAAATAAATACGCTATCAACACAGAGAAATGGGATTTATTACTAATAATGTAACAACTAAATACGCTATCAACACAGAGAAATGGGATTAATTACTAATAATGTAACAACTAAATACGCTATCAACACAGAGAAGTGGGATTAATTACTAATAATGTAACAACTAAATACGCTATCAACACAGAGAATTGGGATTAATTACTAATGATGTAACAACTAAATACGCTATCAACACAGAGAATTGGGATTAATTACTAATAATGTAACAACTAAATACGCTATCAACACAGAGAATTGGGATTAATTACTAATAATGTAACAACTAAATACGCTGTCAACATAAAAACAAATATTAATTAAATTTGACGTTATACTTTGATTATAAGAATGTTCTTTACTAGTATGTTGATGTAACAGGTGAATTATAATCGTACCTGAATTCTGGGTAACTATCACAGCTGTCTGTCACATAAAGGTCTCCCTCATTAGAACTAGGCGGAAGCTGGGACGTACTCAAACCAGATCCTGGTGTACATAGTTTTGTGATTTTATTGTACATGAAACTATGACATGTTTTTTGGTACCTGTTGATATGAGATATATAATTATGAAACGCCTTTGTGACAACTATAACTTTACTTCTTTGTACAAATTATTGCACAGTATATATGTGAAAACTACAACATTACCCCTTTTTACAACTGATAGCACAGTATATATGTGACAACTACAACATTACCTCTTTTTACAACTTATAGCACAGTATATATGTGACAACTATAACATTACCTATTTGTACAACTTATAGCACAGTATATATGTGACAACTACAACATTACCTGTTTGTACAACTGATATCACAGTATATATGTGACAACTATAACACTACCTCTTTGTACAACTGATAGCACAGTTTATCTGTGACGACTCGTTCCAGCCAGGTCCTAACCTCACAGGTCCACATGTGATTGCCAGTTTTTTCTTAAATAAATTCGCACCAAAAGTTGTTACAGGTTGTCCGTGCACATACTGGAAACTTTCTAAACCTAAAACAAAACAAGACAAATTGTCTTGAAATGTCAAGTCGATGCATTCAAAATTGAACGTTGTCATACCAAGAAACAAAATCAGCGCGTCCCATGTATCCAGTATTTATTTAATCTATGAGAAGCATATACGTATATCAAACAATATAATTATATTACATGGTATTGTTAATAATAATATTACCTAAGATTTAAAACTAGAGATAAATACTCACTGAACATGACCAAGAGTGTTGGTATCAGAAACATGCTGGCTCAAAAAGTTCTGTGTCAAAATACATTTAATGACAACCTTGAACTTTACTAGACCCAAAGTTCTTCATTAAAATATGTTTTTTACTTTTTAGAACAGCCTTCTGTTAAGCTTGGTACCAATACAATTAATGGATTTTCCGAATTTACATCAATAGATACTTTTGATCTCAGTACAATTTTAATATGGATTTCTTGGGTAATCAATCGAGCTATTTGCCACATCCAGGGCCGCGATGTCATTTCAACGGCTCAAACAGTTTCAATATTTTATTTTTCTAATCACAGAAGAAATAGTTACGCTGCAAAGTTTTTACGCCCAAAAAGAGAGTATATTATAAAAGACTTAGATCAATCCATTGCTCAGTATTATTTGAATTTGGAAAATGTAAAGCACCCCCATAACAGCCGGTGGTAGATCATGTGCAGTGATTGTAAAGGTTGAGTTGGCCCCCTCACAACAGCCGGTGGTTGAACACGTGCAGTTATTGTAAAGGTTCAGTTGGCCCCCTCACAACAGCCGGTGGTTGAACATGTGCAGTGATTGTAAAGGTTGAGTTGGCCCCTTCACAACAGCCGGTGGTAGATCACGTGCAGTGATTGTCAAGGTTGAGTTGGTCACCTCACAACAGCCGGTGGTAGATCACGTGCAGTGATTGTCAAGGTTGAGTTGGTCACCTCACAACAGCCGGTGGTAGATCACGTGCAGTGATTGTCAAGGTTGAGTTGGTCACCTCACAACAGCCGGTGGTAGATCACGTGCAGTGATTGTCAAGGTTGAGTTGGTCACCTCACAACAGCCGGTGGTAGATCACGTGCAGTGATTGTCAAGGTTGAGTTGGTCACCTCACAACAGCCGGTGGTAGATCACGTGCAGTGATTGTCAAGGTTGAGTTGGTCACCTCACAACAGCCGGTGGTAGATCACGTGCAGTGATTGTCAAGGTTGAGTTGGTCACCTCACAACAGCCGGTGGTAGATCACGTGCAGTGATTGTCAAGGTTGAGTTGGTCACCTCACAACAGCCGGTGGTAGATCACGTGCAGTGATTGTCAAGGTTGAGTTGGTCACCTCACAACAGCCGGTGGTAGATCACGTGCAGTGATTGTCAAGGTTGAGTTGGTCACCTCACAACAGCCGGTGGTAGATCACGTGCAGTGATTGTCAAGGTTGAGTTGGTCACCTCACAACAGCCGGTGGTAGATCACGTGCAGTGATTGTAAAGGTTGAGTTGGTCACCTCACAACAGCCGGTGGTAGATCACGTGCAGTGATTGTAAAGGTTGAGTTGGCCACCTCACAACAGCCGGTGGTAGATCACGTGCAGTGATTTTAAAGGTTGAGTTGGCCACCTCACAACAGCCGGTGGTAGATCACGTGCAGTGATTTTAAAGGTTGAGTTGGCCACCTCACAACAGCCGGTGGTAGATCACGTGCAGTGATTTTAAAGGTTGAGTTGGTCACCTCACAACAGCCGGTGGTAGATCACGTGCAGTGATTGTAAAGGTTGAGTTGGCCACTTCACAACAGCCGGTGGTAGATCACGTGCAGTGATTTTAAAGGTTGAGTTGGCCACTTCACAACAGCCGGGGGTAGATCACGTGCAGTGATTTTAAAGGTTGAGTTGGCCCCTTCACAACAGCCGGAGGTAGATCACGTGCAGTGATTGTCAAGGTTGAGTTGGCCCCTTCACAACAGCCGGGGGTAGAACGTGCAGTGATTTTAAAGGTTGAGTTGGCCCCTTCACAACAGCGGGGGTAGATTACGTGCAGTGATTGTAAAGGTTGAGTTGGCCCCTTCACAACAGCCGGGGGTAGAACGTGCAGTGATTTTAAAGGTTGAGTTGGCCCCTTCACAACAGCCGGTGGTAGATCACGTGCAGTGATTGTCAAGGTTGAGTTGGTCATCTCACAACAGCCGGTGGTAGATCACGTGAAGTTATTGTAAAGGTTAAGTTGACCACCTCACGACAGCTGACGTGCAGTGATTTTAAAGATTGAGTTTGCCACCTCACAACAGTCGAAGTGTTTTAACTTATAAAAAGATGCTTAGAAATGTCGTGTTTTAAGTTATAATTGGGTCTTTTCTTAGTAATTTAATGTCTTAACTCATAGTTAGGTGGTGCTTAGTAATTTAGTGCTTAAACTTATAGTTTACCTGGTGCTTAGTAACTCTTTTTTTAACTTAAAGTTAGAGTGATGCTTAGTAATTTGGTGTTTTAAGTTATAGTTAGGGTGATGCTAAGCAGTTTAGTGTTTTTACTTATAGTTACGATGTTGCTTAGTAGCTTAATGTTTAACTTATAGTTTGGGTGATGCTTGGTAAATTATTGTTTTTAACTTATTGTTAGTGTTGTGCTTTGTAATTGATTGTTTTAACTTGCATTTAATTAGGGTTATGCTTAGTTATTTAGTTTTTTAACTTATAGTTAGTCTGTTACTTAGTACTTTAGAGTTTTAAGTTTTTTGTAGGGTGGTGCGTAGTAATTTAATGTTTTAATTTATAGTTAGGGTGGTACTTAAAAATTTATTGTTTCAACTTATATTCAGGGTGGTGCTTAGTAATTTAGTGTTTTAACATTATTAAGTGATTATTTTTGACTGATAGTTCATTTGTTGCGGAATAATTACGTGTTTTACCTTACATGTAGGGTCATGCTCCCACTGGGATTTAGTTTCCGGTAGGATTTTGAAGGGTTTTAAAAAAAAGAAAATACCCATAAAGTAGAGAACTAAACTAACATTTTAATAAGATTTTTAGAATCCATTATTATATATCCCCGTATAACTATACATATCTTTCTAGAATAAAATTAGTACCCTCTTGGAAACTTGTAAAATGACTTTTCTAAATAATAATTTTTCGAATAAGAAATAGTATAGAGCTAAATGCATTACTATAACTATAGTGGGCCTACATTTAAATTGAAAAAGGGTGCCCGGTGGGCCCAATCCATTATTTTACCGAATTAGTTATGTCTGAGGTAGGGGCCCTATAAAAATCAGGCAGACAAATAATAAAGTTAAAATATTTAAAATTTGTCCCATTAAAATCGTGTTAAAAATGCCATAGCTTACAGCTTTTTGAATTAACAAAATTTCTGGAAAATTCTAAACCCTACCTGAAAGGATTGGATATTATTATTATTAAATACACCGAAATTACAATAAGGAAAAAGAAGGGTATTGCTTTATAGCTACGCCTAGATCAAACAATTCACATAGAACCTTTAGTTTTTTCTTAGAAAATGCTTCATTTTGCATTATAAACAATCAGTCTTCCAATGCACAACAATCGCTTGGAACCATTGGATGTAACAAAGACGGCATTGATTTCATGCAGCAACACACCAGAGAGGTTTAAAATGGAAAATAAATTTATTCAGCTGTTTGGCACCATTTCCCCATATGGTATTAATCAAACACTATCCTACTGATGTTGCTCAGTTTCTCTATATTTCTACAATTTTCTTGTTGCTGTGTGTCTATGCATCCCTGGGTATTCTGGTCCATTATTATTGTGGACCTCATTTATTTTACAGTGTCAATATTTATATTCTATCGCTTCCGATCTTCCCACTTCCGGCGACAACAATGGATATTTCTTGAGTTGTTTACTGTGCTCTGTTCTTTGTGCTTTTTCATTTGTACTGTAAGCTGAAGAAGGCTTTATGCTTAAACGTCCTAATCTTTTTGTCCTGTTCTCTAATTCTAATTTGAAGTGCCTTATGAATTGGCCGGACAAATGAGGCATGAAATTTAATGAAACCAAATTCTACACTATGATAATCTTAAGAAAAAAAAAGTATCCAATAGTCCATACCTTGGAATTCTCTTCTCAAAAAACTAAAATGATCACCCAATATAAATTTTTTTTTTTAAAAAGCCAACTCCACCCTAGGTTTCATCCGAAGAAATCTGCGCCACTGCCCAACTTCCTGCAAACGAAATGCCTATCTCACATTCGTCCGTCCACTAGTGGAATATGGTGCGATCATCTGGAACTCACACCTTACGCAATACGTGGACACGATGGAGCGAATTCAACGTAACGCGGTGCGTTTTATCGCTCGAGACTACAAATCCACCACTCCTGGCTTCGTCACTGGCCTCTTAAAAAGATTTGACCCCCCCCCCTTTAAAGACAGATGAGTGGGACTCCGCCTGATATTCTTGTATAAAGTGATCATGGGACTGATGCCGGCCATCCCAGGAGGCATGCACCTCACCCCACAGAAGCCGGGTAGACTGATCAGAGCTAAACGCTCACTGAACACGGACTTCACCACTGACATTACCATAAACAATAACACCAGAAACAATAGCGAATGCTTCAAAGTGCCTCAGTGCAACACAGTGCAGTATCAACAATCTTCATCTCCACGCACAATAATAGCATGGAACAACCTGAACGATGCCACTGTGAACTCGACATCAGTCGAAAGCTTCAAGGCTGCCCTGGCATACGCTAGGAGCTATTAGAATAGCAACACCATATCCCCAACCGTTGCAAAAATGCCAGTACATGGATTCAGCAACGAAACATTACCAGAACCGGAACCAGAATCAACGAAACATTAGCAGAACCGGAACCAGAATCCCAATACCTCGTTTTGCTATTTCATTCGCTTGGACAATGCCTCCGTGGACTCGACATCGGATTAAAAGCTTC